GACGGACGGACAGACAGACAGGCAAGTAGGCAGATAGATAGACAGACAGACATACAGACATTCAAATACAGGCTTCTTGAGATACTTGACCCAATTAAAACACTCCAAAACAATACAGAGTGCTAAGTTTTCTAAGTGCTAAGAATCAGAGGGTTTACATGTTAGGGTTTACATGTCGTGCAGCTTAACAGTTATACATGTTTTATCTTTCGATGATAATAACATTTTAAAAACTTTTCGTCTTTTGTCCCCAGTCGTATGACGTCATCCCGTGTTAGCAGCAGAGCCCTCAACCTTGCAGCTCTGGCGAAGACATAACTAAGTTATGACTACACAGTAGAATAATGTGTTCCAATACCACTGAAAACCGCTGGTTCGGTAAGTCGTCGGAGTACCGGGCCCGGCTGTTCAAAGCAGGTTGAAACTAGTCCAGGATTAACTTTGAATCCAGTTTTGAAAGTTATTAGCGATCATTTCTTTTAGTTGCTGCCGTCTGAAAATGTTTTAACCTTTGCACAGAGGCAACCTGTAACTTGAAGTTTAGTAGGAAAAAACCTTTAGTTGATGAATTTTTATCCTGAACTAGCGTCAACCTGCTTTCCAGCAGCCGAGCCAGTCTGGCTGTATCCTGCAAAAGTACTATATTTTTGGTTCACCTGTTATAGACGAAAAATATAGTTTCTTTTTGCGGGTTACTCTGACTGAGTCTAGCAAGTGTGAAAGCTTTAGCGCAATGTTGGGCGTAAAGATTAGTCTTAAAGACATGGAAACACTAGTTGGTCAGCGAAGACTGCAGATAGCATGGAATATAGTATGGTTAGTGTAGGGCTCGATAAAAGGCTGAAAAGTGGTCTGGCAATTTTACGATTGGATGTGTTTGTTGCTTATTCGTAAAGTTCATTGTAGTATTTGTATGACGGAGCTGTGCCACGTTTCAAAAGAAGCCAGTTTTAGTGATGTACAAAATTATCTTGTACATGTGCAGCAAAAATCGTGGTTTGCGAGGTTTAAAGATTAATGAAGGATTTTGAAAGGTTTTGGACGCACGGAGAAGATTCAAAGATGTATTCAAAGTACACGATTAATGTGTATGTTACTATGAATCTTCATGGAGGTTTTTTGAATGCTAAAGTGGCGCTTTGTACAGTGTACAATCTCCTAATTCACAGATTCTATTTTATCATAATAGTACGTTGATAGTAAGTTATTGTTTTTATGAGAAGTCAAATGATCAGCAAAATTTGCTCAAAAAGCAATTATCTTATCAACTTTCGGCAAGATCGAAAGGTTATAACTTTATTGAACAAATGGTACTATGTCCATACATGTATAAAATAAGTGTGATTCCTCCAATACGTATTTGTTATGGTGAATGTGGCCGTATGTGGTCTGGGTACCATACACGCGTCCGCCGTATCAGGTTAAATAGTTACTGGGGAGTGTAAGAAAACCACGACGCCAGCGGCAAGGGAACGTCGCTAAACAGAAGGCTTAATGCTCAAGTAGAACAATGGCTGTGCACTGCGTTATAATTCTTGGTACATTTCTCTGCCGTCCTCTACAAAACAACAACGTGAAATGACCACATTCTGCGTTGTTTGGAGAACGTGAACGACGAGAACTAACCTTTTAAGTTTCTATTTCAAATTTATCGCTGTGTTCCAGATTCAGTTTCGTGATAGTTTTGACAGTGATAAAAACAAACAAAAATGACTTAAGATTATCGCGGGATTCCTAGAAAAAATATAAATTCACTTTAAAGTTTTTAATTGAGGATTGCCGTCTTGGTACTTAAACTCCCTAGTAGCATGACCCTCTGGGACAATTACATCTCTTTTCCTCAATGTGGCTCCTAGTTAGTTAGAATGTAGTTTTGGGGCTGTTTGTTTGTTTGTTGCGTAGAATTTCGGTAGCAGTCGTAACTTTAAACTGTCAGAAAACTAGGGTGTCGAAGAAACAGTGTGGTTCTTCAATGAAAATAAAATAAATTTCTGCGGTATATCTTAGCAGTAGTCAAAGGAACTCGAATTTAACGTGTACCAACGTATACTCACCAACAAACTAAGTGAACTAGAAGCCATATTGATAGAAAGAGATTAAATTAATCTTAATCAATTCTTAAGCAAACAATGATTTGCGATGATATATAACTTTAAAAGCGTGATATATGCCCCTTATTCATGTACAATTCCGTCTAGTGACAGGTTTTTAAACGTATACATTTGTATTATAAATTATTTTTGTATGGAACATTTCCAAAACAGAGATGCGATTTTAAGGGTTTATTGTTTTAGTGGTAATTAGTTAAGGTATTTTAGCTACAATTTCTTAACTACACGTAGTGTACTGTGCAGAATTTTTAACCATTCATCTTATCTACAGACCTTCTCAATGCATGAAATACGACTGTTGTCATACAGTACTTGGTGTGAAAGAAAATGCTTGTTAGAAGCTCTATTTATTGATGTAGTTTTTATCAAGTCTTAGTTTTATGGACAAACCTACATAACCCACAGAGGCGCTTTGCTCAATCAAAATAACCTACCCTGCGAGCAAGCACTTCAGGAGTAAGCGGTTGCTCCCCAATAGAGCATGCTTGCAGGCTGGAAGAGGGGCAGTTTCCATGTATTAAAATTCTAGCGTGGCTCGTAGGCTTACTGGTTTTGAACAAAATCATATTGAGGATGATTCTCTTAAGCGAGCTAGGTTAAATATTTTGATATATCGAAATTGGCTCGATGCAAGACGCTCAAACGTATATTGTTCTGATAGCTGTTGAATGAACTTGCTTAACCAAGTTGTGTTCCGCAGCAAATTGCGGTTTTCGTGAGACATTACTAGTTAGCATCAACGTTTTATTTTAAACTCGCGAGTAATCTGCTCTCTTACCGTATTCTTAATGCACCCTATACACTGGGGAAATGGTGTTCCTTTCGTTTGCTTTTTTATTCAACGTAACCTGTTTGTATGTATCACATGGTTGTAATATAACGTTTACTAATAAAACATTCTACAAATATTCCAGTTGAATTTGCAATTGCATGTAGAGTAACAAAATCTTGCGTTAAAGAAGCCCGTTCAGCTTTCAGACTGTGGGACAATGGATGTGGAAATGAACGCAGCATGAAAAAATAAGCAAACAACGAAATGCAATAAATTCTCCCTCGTTTTTGCTGTTGCATATTGCTTGGCACGTTTCCTAGAAAAGCATTCCATGCTGATGAGGTCAGTAACTCTCCCGAGATCTGTGCGGATTACGTTACGTTGATCTGGTCATCAAAGTTTTACCTTTTACGTGGCACCTTTCAAGTAATACAGCAAACGTGAAGGACCGTGTTCGACCAAATTTCCATCACATAGAAGAGAGTTAAAAATACGACGCTTGACGAAGTTCGGGGTGTTTGGAAATGTGGTCAAACACTTGAGTCTTGGATATATCTTTTTAATCGATTCAAAAACGAACGAGATATCGGAGAAAAATCTACGCTAATTAAAGGTCAGATATCCAAACACCGTCACGGTCTTGGTTTCATTTGTTTAAACTAAAAATACCAATTTTCTGATGAAGTTAAACTTCGCTTTTGTTTTATTGGGGCATTCAAATGTTACAAGGATATTTTTAACATGGGTAGTTTAACTTTGACTGGACTTGCGCGAGAAAACGTTCTTGGTTACTGTTCTTTGTTTCAATATTCTTTGGTTATAGTTATCACGTAGTAAGTTTGTTCTTTTTCAAACGAAAGAAGTACCATTGTGTCAGCGGTTGTCCCCCGGAGGAACCATCAAGACCGGCACATTCATGTGCTGCGTGACGTAATCACAGACACTTCCTAGGATTGTTCGTCTTATGGTGCCCAGCCCTCTACTGCCTAAAATGATACACTCGGCATTTTGTTCCTTTCCTGCAGTGCAGATCACGTGACCAATCGGTCCATATGCGTAAATAGTCTTGAAGGGAACCTGAAAAATGAAGAAACTGTTTTGTCAAAAAATGGCGTATTTTGATCACTCTCGTACATTAGCAATGCAATCATTCAATAGGCCATTTTCGAATTACCCTTGGCCTCTTTCTCAAAGCGATTTTGGGTGCCCATCCTTTAATATAATAAAAATGAGATTTCATTCACAAGCAAATTAACTTATTTTGATGTGAATGGTTGTGCACCAGGCCTCGCTTTGATAGAAAAGCTTAGGGCAACTCAGAAATGGGCTATCGAATGAATATCCCAATAGTGAGCCGATTACTTACCAATTAGACTACTAAACCAATCTCAAACTGTAAAAACCAAGAGATTATGATCCTGATCATATTCTCTTAAGTCCAAGTTTTTGAATCAATAGCTGGCTACAGCGTTGGCCAAGAGTAATTATAATTAACTGCAATCGTCTTTTTCGGTTTTGCATTTTGAAATTAATGAAACACGAGACACTATAATGAAGAAAATTTCAAGATGCCTTTGGCAAACAAAACTGAATAAGGGTCGCTTCGGTAGAATCTCTATCGTACTCCTAAAACATTTTTCATTTAGACTAGACTGTTTAGTAACCTCTATATCTTTGCACTTCTTCTCATATTTGCTTAATATCTCCATTGCCTTTCGTTCTGCCTTCTGTAGCATTCGTTCCCACTCCTCCCGTGACGGAATGCTCATGCAATCTGTAACGGCAATAAAATTTAGGATTTAGAAAGTCATGTTTAAAACAATAGTTGTCTAACCATAAAACAGAGCTGTAATTCCAACTCAGACTGTAAAGGGAGGTTTGACTGTAATAGGCTGGTTATGAAGACTACGAGTAGTCTCTCTTCGGGGCGGATTTTTCTTAGGAGGGGGTGCACCACTAGGGAATGGCATAACTGACTGGTGAGGTAAACAAATTTTAAAAGTGAAAAC